GAAACAATCAAGGTGTGAACGCCATTTCAACAAATCATACGAAGTGTTTCAAAAGTCGAAAAGTTATGACAACATGAATATTTTGTCATAAACAAGATGATTTCCTGAACTTATCTCAGTAATTAGAGAAGGTAGACACATTTGTAGGGGTGATTTTCGGAACTACAAAAACTGTCCTATGTACAGGGTGGGCCAAATTGGACACTTTAAAAGGGAAAAGGGAAAAACTCAGTGGTGAGACCCGCATATCGATATCTGTCTTCGTTTCGTACTTAGTTACAGGGTGTATTTCGAAAATGGGCATTTTTGAAAAGTGACTACAGATATTTTTTCTGACAAAAATTGTCTGTTCTTATGGAGATAACTGCAAAGCATTGAGTTGATGATAAAAATTGTTCTCGACTCACTGAAATCTGTCTTTCTATATCTAGTTCAAGAATATAACGTGTCCTTCTTGAAGGAAAAGTGCTATTTTGCAACTAGGTATACAGTCTCTAATTTCAATGCCTGAGGATCAATTTTCATGATAAACAAAATGTTTTGGGAATGTCTTCATGAAAACGAAGAATTTTTACCAAAAATAGAGTTTTAGCTACTGTTCAAGAATTTACATTTTTACATATCGATATGCGATTTTCACCTTTGAGTGTTTCATGTGAACTGATCAACAGGCACCGACATCAGTTTTTTTTTATCTGGTACGGGAATATAAATTTCCCTTTAAAAGTGCCCATCCTGGCCCACCCTGTACATTTGAATCCAGAACACCGTCTATACAAACATACGCTGATTGTCTTAGATTCCATATATAGAGGCACCAATTCCTTGACATCATTGGAACACCGTAAGGAAGTCTTTTTTCCATATACTTTCACAGGAAATATGTTCTTCAGAAATCTCGACTATCATTCCATCACTAACAATACCGGTCATACAAACTCGACAGGGCCAGTCAGCACATCCATTCGTCGTGAACCACATATATAGGACTCACTATTCTCTATCAAAACTTGTTAGACTATAGATCAGTTAAGCTTTGGAATTATCGGCCATAGGAAGTATTCCCAAGACGTTATTTATTTATTTATTTATTTATTTATTACAACTTTGGGATACAAACAGGTTCAAAACCCAAAAAAGTATCCGCTGATACAATATGTTACATGACAGCTCGTATTATAATGAAGTGAGTAAAAATATGATAGTTAAAGTGAAATTTTAAATGTTGAACAATTTTGGAATTTTAGGTGAGAAATATTTTTTTAGCTCTTTGTTTGAAAGTGAATAAAGATATACAGTGAATATCAATACTACAATATTTGTTAAAACTACTACTTAACCTAATAATTGGAGAATTACGGCCTAAATTTGTATTTCGATAATCTATATTGAGAAAGAAATTATTGCGAGTATTCCTAGGAGGAATATGTATAGAGAAAAATGATAATAATGTTGGACAGTCATAATGATTCCTTAGAACCTTGAACGTGAAGACTAAGTCAGTGATTATTCTTCGTTTTTCTAGTTCCAAAATATAGCTTCTAAACGTTCAAACAAAATTCCAATGCCTATTGGGAATTGGAAATATAAGTATTTCAATTCTTTGCCTTTCATCTTCAAAATTTGACCAAAAGTGAGATGATATACCCAGAAAGCACAATGTCATTCATATAGAACGTCCATAGGATATTCTTCGAGAATATTTGAATATCCTCAGCATATTATCACAATATGATATAAATATTTTATGGACGTTACGATTATAAATGACCTCAGAAAAGTCAAAAAGAATATTCTGAGAATATGTCAGAGTAAATGTTCATATAATATTGTTTGCAGAATGAGAATATTCTATGATTATTCTGAGAACATTCTACAGTGTGACCCACTTGGAAACACCCCCGTAATGGTCGCGTATGGATCCTGAAATTTCCTGGAGCGGAAGATATACCAAAAATGCACTCTATGACAAAGTGGGGTCATCTTCAGTGATATACACTGCTCGTCAACAGCCATGAAACCACTCAAATTTCCGGAAAATGATATTAGGAGTCAAAATAGGTTGGGAATCATTTCGGATTCGGAATCAGGACGCCTAATTCACTAACCATTCACAGTTTTTCTAGAAAATTTTCAATTCAGAAAAATTAAATATTGTCTCACTTCTCATGAAAGCACCCCCGTTCTCACCTAATTATTGAGGTAGGGTTCTGAAATTTGCAGGAGGAAGGGAAAGACCAAAGCTAAAGTCCATTACGTAAGATACGGTGGTGCTTTCGTAAAAAGTGCGACAAAATTTAATTTTTCGGAGCTGAAAATTTTCCATGAAAAATATGAATAGTTAGTGACTTGTCTGGAAATTATGGTGGTTCCATGGCTATAGGCGAGCAGTGTATATCACTGAAGATGACCCCACTTGGAGTGGATAGAGTGCATTTTTGGTATATTTCTCGCTCCAGCAAATTTCAGGTTCCTTACCCAGTGATTACGTAAGATACAGGGGTGTCAGACACAGAAGTGGGTCACACTGTATAGAAATATTCTGAAATAAGTATACTTGAACGTTGTCAGAATATTCATAGAATATTCTCTGCTGTCTGGGATAGGTGTTCAGGTCATTTATACCTATAGTCGCTATACTATGGTAATGTATATATCAGAAATATCATCTGGAACAATATAACTTTCGAATTTTTATCTTTGAATAGTGGGCTTCAATTCTATAGCATGTCTCGTTCGATATTCCATCAGATCTATGTTATAATATTGAGTCTATCAAGATGGATGGCATGGATGGTGTGAAAGAGAAATTCGATGCGCTATAGTGCAATTTTAGTGATTTCAGTGAACACAGAGGAATAATTAATTGCTATCGGTACCATTATAGTAACATTAGTTAGTGAGTATCTATACGTATTTCTTTGATAGTTTTTGTTTCATTGATGAAATTATCTAAGATTGGCCATCAGTCCCATGATCAAATTATTTCCTCGGAATCGGAAATAACAGTATATTAAAACAATGCTAACAAAGAAATTGTTGAGTAATAAACAAATATAGTGAATTATATTCAAAAATAAGGTACCACAGTAGTTTCACACTCAGCCTACTACGATTTCGCTAATACAAGGGCTATTTTAGATAAATAGCTTCGCTATGAAGATATCAAAAAAAAAAAGAGAAAAAGTTTACCATGATAGTCCCACGTTCTTTCCTCATTAGCATTATGAACAGCTTAGAATTTGATTTTATTTCCTTAATTATTCTTTTCGTTCTGACCATACATCAAGTGAGATTTTTTTGAATAAGTATTTCAAGACAGACGACTATGAAATCATAGCTCAAACACTTGAGAATCAACGGAAAGTTTTTATTATATGGCATTCATGAAAGCTTCAGGGTCACTAGGCCAATGTTTGAGGATGCCTCAGGGTATTGTTCGTAACCGGAGATAAACACGTCTTGTAGCAAGTTCTGTTTCTATATGAATCGATTAAATTTCACTTTCCCTAGTGCCGAGTCTCGATCGTTGTATTTGACCCGATCAATTTCACTCAACATTTCTTTTTCATTGCATATTTCAATTCAGGGCACGTAGGCAACCAATAAATATCGATGATCGAACTTCCAAATTCATGTATGAAGAATACTCGATTAATACATTAAGCAATTCATTCATTATATCTCCATCAGTTCACATCATAAATATGATCTATAAAAAAGGTAAACTACCACACCAATGGAAAGAGTCAATCATCACCCCTATATATATATATATATATAAAACAGGTAAGCGTGACGACATTGGGAACAATAGACCAATTTCTGTTATTAACAATTTTGCCAAAATCTTTAAACAATCCCCGAAAAGAAGACTCAGAAAAATGTTTAGCCATATTTCTAGATCTAGCAAAGGCCTACGACACTGTAGAACATGGTATGTTATTGAAAAAACTGCTTGGATACGGTATACGTGGCCCAACATACACTATTTTGAAAGACTATCTATCACATAGAACACAGAAGGTCAAAGTTGACAATAACCTGAGTGAAGCAATAGAAGTCACAAGGAGTACCGCAGGGAATAGTTTTGGGACCCATATTATTTCTTATTTACATCAACAGCATCAGCTTCATCAACAATTTTAAGGGCCATCTCATCTCATACGCGGACGATACAGCACTCATTTTCACGGGTAATAGCTGGATGGAGGTTTTTGAATAATCAGAAGAGGAACTGAGAGATGTTCAGATATGGCTTAATCACAACCTTCTCAGTCTCAATGTGAATAAAACTAAATTTATTACATTCACTCTATCTCAGAATAATCAACCGGGGCAAAACATAATCCATATCCATGACAAAGACTGTACTGAAACAACTGACTGCAATTGTGCTGTTATAGAAAGAACAAAAATGATCAAGTATCTAGGAGTTGTTGTGGATCTGTTTATGAGATAGGATGATCATATAAACTATGTTGTGAAACGACTCAGACATTTAATGAAAAAATTCTATGAATTGAGAAATATCCTGGAGTACAAAAATTTTATCACCATATAACATTCTCTAGCAGAATCTGTGATGAGATATTGTATTGCTGCCTGGGGTGGCACTTTCAACAATTCCCTGATTTTCAACAAACTCTTCACTTATCCTCTTCTCTTTCTATCACTTTCCAAATGCATTATTCATTATTTAATTTGTTGTAGGTATATATGTTTGTATGTATATTTGTATGATTTACATGAAAGGTATTTTTGTTTTTTTTAGGACAACACTATATATAATCTCAAACTGCCATAGTTGAAATGATTATCATGTCATTTTTGAATAGGTACCCTGAATGGTGGATGAAAAGCGCAACACCAGTATTATAGATACTTAGATGCATCCATCTTCATATGAAGGGTTGTAATAAACTGAATGTATAGTGACTGTATTCGAACTGAAGAGAAAATAAACTTGAAACTTGAAACTTGATTCCAATTTTTTTTAGAACAATGGCACCTTCAATTTACCTCTCGGAACAATCTTCAGCAGAGCCAGTCCAGATCATTAACCTCAAGCCAAATGTCCAGCAGCACACCTGTCAAACTTACGAAAAACCCCAAAGAAGAAGCCTCGAAAGTAAGGGACCTCATTACAAATGGGACATAGTCTGGAAAAACGTTCTTATCTTCATCCTCCTACACGGATTTGGTGCTTATGGCTTCTGGATCATGTTAACAAAAGCCAAATGGCAGACAAACCTATTTGGTGAGTTTAATTCATCGAAATTTGTAAAGTGCGAAGATGATAGGTATTCATACACAATGATATTTCTATTCAGGAGTAGCTGTATCCGAAACGATAAGGCATGGGCATTATTAGTTCAATCGTTATTCGATTTAACACTACCAATTATTTTATTAAAATTAGTATACAATACTCATTCATCGATTGCTGACTTCCAAAGTGGCACTATACCACTTTGGAGGTGTGACATCTCCTCGACTTTGGTGCTGCTGCCCATGACATAATGTAAGTTCCAAGAACCATCATCTTGTTTTTGTTGTTCGGTCTTTTCATATTTTTTGTTCTTTGCTGTTTCGCCTTTTTGGCACATTTTCATGTTTTTTTGATTGAATAAATTGTTTGTTGTTCTTTTGAAAAACAATTCTCTTTATTGGGGGATGAATGTGGTTGGGTGGAGAAATACTGAAAATCCTCTTGCAAAATATCCAAGCGAGTACTCTTGAGTTGATGCATCGAAGTAAAAGCGAGGTCTGAGTTGCGACACGTGGTGAAAGCCCATCTGAGTTGCGACACGTGGTAGAGGCACAGTTTGTTCTCAATAATGCCATATAACCTACTAGAACCATCTGAGTTGCGACAATATCAATCAACCTAAGGCCCTATGTAACTATTTTCTAGGTAGAAATTCATGCCATTGAGTGCCATGATGTATCAAGTATACTAATCAGCTTCTTTGAGAAGCTGAATCTACTTAGTGGTCGCAGTGAATAGCCAAATACTGTGAAGCTCAAAGTCTGCCTTTGCCTCTGGAATGAACCATTTCAACGTTTTCCTTTCACAGGTTTGGGTTGTTGTGAAGCTAAATTACTGTCGTTTTCTTTGAAATGAACCTCCTTTCAACAGTTTACCTTCACAAGTCACTTTCTTGCACAAACAGCAGCGAGTCACTATAATTGTTCTAAAAAAATCGTTCTAAACTTGTTCTTATCCATCATTTGGCTGCCCCCTTACGAGCAACCCTCAGAAGTCTTCAAGAGACTTGTGCGAGCAAAGAATGACAAGGGTCTTACCTTTTAACGTGTGATCCGAAACACTTTCTTAGGCCATCAGAAAAATCTCATCGGTCGTGGTGGGAATCGAACCCACTACCGGTAATCCAACGTAGATAGAACATTGACGCTCTAACCACGAGGCTACGCTGGCCTTAATACCCTGAAACTGTTGGATTCTGTCCAAAAAAGGGCAATTCGTCTCGTGGGTGATACCTCGCTCACAAACTCACTCACTTCTCTGGAACACCGTGGAAAAGTTGGCGATCTCGCTCCATTTTATAGATATCTCCATGGACAATGCTCTTCTGAAATATCAACAATTGTTCCTCCCATGGCAGTCCCCGAGAGATGAACCCGTCTCGAGTTGAGGCTTCGCACCCCTTCGTGGTCACTTTGGAGAACTGCAGAACATCTCTTTCCGAAGACTCGTTCATCCAACGAACAGCGATGCTCTGGAACACATTGTATGCTGGAAAATAACTGTCCTGCTCTTTGGGATAAGTCCTCTTCCAACACTTTACCTTCACAAGTCACCTTCTTGCACAAACTGCAGAGAGTCACTATAATAATGGTCTCTAGAATGAACCTTTCTCCTCCACCAATGTATCGATAAGCAACCTGCAGCCAGTGGTTCCACCTGTTGGAGTAAATTAGTGTCCTGGACTCTAGGATAAAACTCCATTCTGAGTATGATAAACCATCCTCTGACCATTCACTTTTTCAGGTTACCTTTACGCAGCTTGCAGCGCCTTCGGAGTCACTGCAGGAGCACACAGGCTCTGGGCACACAGGACCTACAAAGCCAAGCTGCCACTGCGCATTTTCCTGATGATCCTGCAGACTGCAGCTCTGCAGAACGACCTGCACGAATGGGTGAGAGACCACAGGGTGCACCACAAGTTCACCGATACAGACGCTGATCCACACAACTCTCGCAGAGGGTTCTTCTTCTCGCACATAGGTTGGTTGATGGTGAGGAAGCACAAGGATGTGTTCGCTAAAGGAAAGACCGTGGATGTCAGCGATGTGGAGAACGATCCAGTGGTGAAGTTCCAGAAGAAGTAAGTTTTCTTTTTCTTTTATGTTCTGGTTCCCACGAAAAGGGATATCCTGTAATGTTCAGAGATCATCGTGAGAACCAAGGGAAATAAGGTAGGAATTGGTGTTCTTCTCAAATTTCTGGAGGTTATATGCCTCCGGGAACACCTCCCATGGCAATGTGTTCCAGAGCCTCGCTGTTCGTTGGATGAACAATAAGTCTTTGGAAAGAGATGTTCTGCAGGTCTCCAAAGTGACAACGAAGGGATGCGAAGCCTCAACTCGACGGGTCAATCTCTCGGGGACTGCCAAGGAAGGAACAATTGTTGATATTTTAGAAGAGCATCGTCCATGAAAATATCTATGAAATAGAGCCAATTCACCAATTTTTCTACGGCGTTCCAGAGAAGTGAGTGAGTTTGTGAGCAAGACATCACCCACGAGACGAATTGCGTTGTTTGGACAGAATCCAACAGTATCAGGGTATGTTTGGGTGCTGCATTCCAAATATGGGAACAGTATTCCAGGACAGGTCGGATCTGTGCCTGATAGATCATAAGCAGCTGACTGGAAGTGAAATAGCCCTTGTAGTACCAATACAGATAATGTTGCTGTCTTCCAAAGCTACGAATATACCGCTCCAGCAGAGACCTTGTGCAAGAGTGGTGACTGAAGATAGATGAGGAGTCTGTACAGTATTTGAAGGACTCAGATTCTATACTATCAATCAATATAGGACAGCTTCGAAACCAAGATATATTTCGAGTCGAAAAATATTCCAGAAATTTGATTTGCCAGACAAAAAGAGTCAAATGAGGTCACTAATGGGCTTACTACTTGATATTGATGACTTGAAAGAAGTAATGAATTTGGAACCAACAAACTTCTTCAGATTGAAGTAAGGAAGAGAAATTATTAAAGAATGATCGTCTTTTTGTATTGTAGGGAAAATAGAATTGCTGCTAAGAACAGAAGATCTACGATTCGAATCAAGGGAAAATGCATTCACTAAGTCTGCTGAGTATGATAAAATTGATTAATTATTATCTAGTTTGTCCTAGATCATACTTTATATATTGTTGCTAGGAAAACGGTAATTTCTGATTGAGGGCTCTTGGCCTTTCATGTAATAAAATTTGATCTGAATAAAACTCATATTTATCACATTGTAACTCCATTATACATCACAATTTCGATTATATTACATGGTGACAGCGGTTTAAAATAAAATCAGCAGAATGGAGTCAGGAGTGCAATAAACAACAAACCTGACTGCTTCATAGATTTTAGTTTACTTTCCATCCCATAGCTATGTATTTTAATGCTACCTTCTTAATAAAGGCCTATCTCTCAATTCCAGGTACTACGTCCTACTAGTGACCTTACTCACCTTCATAGTACCTGCTCTAATTCCATGGTACTATTACGGCGAAAACTTCTGGATCTCCTGGTACGTCACGATAGCAAGGTATACGTTGGCATTGAACATCACGTGGCTAGTCAACAGTGCTGCTCACATTTGGGGAACCAAACCTTACGATGGGTAAGAACAGTTTGATCAAATTTTCTTCTAGAAGAGTATTCACAGAACCAAACATATTAAAATGGTCAGCCAGGTCGAACCAACTTTGAATAAATATTATTATTGCGTATATATTAGGATTTAGTTTCAGAGATTAATAAATATTTAATTCGTTTATATACAGTGAGGATGTAAAAAGTCCTCCCGTTCCTTTCACAGGCTATAGCGAGGTTTGGTAAGATTCAGGTGAGAAAGTACCGCTTTCACGACTTTTTGGAATGAAAATGATTGTGGGCACGTGGCTTACCTAGTGTCAAGAGGGCATCATCAACTTTTTTTTCCAAATATAAATGGGGTTGGATCCAAGTGATGTCCATAAAGGATTTCAACCACCTCGACGAAAAAAAAAAACTGTGCTGAAGGGAAGTCTCTGGTGGGTCCATGTTGGAAGCCGAGGGATGTCCATAGACTGTCCCTATTACGTTCCGTATTCGGACAGAGGATGTCCAAAGAACATCCTAAATGCTAGAAATATTCACCGTTCCCTCTCTGACGAAAGAAAAATCGGCTTTGAGATTCATGCCGAATGGTATTTCATGCTTCCAACGTCAACTTCAAGCACTTGTCACTTTGAAACGTCTTGGCCGATTTGCACAAACGAAGAAGTGTTGGATAGAGAATAGAAAGGCCTTCAAAACGAGGTACCACGTACGTGATTCAATTTACATTTGGAAAAGAACTTGATGGTGCTCTCTTGACAATGAACCACGAGACCACAACAACTTTCATACCAAAAAGTAGTAAGAAAGGTAGGTACTCGCTAGCTCGTTTCGTTTAAAAGTTAAAGGAATACTTTTTTCGTCCTCACCGTATATATGGCAAGAGTTGATTCCTTGTACAGGTAACAGTGCAACCAGTCCTTAATTTTCTCTTGAAGATGCCAACATTGTGAGCAAAACACGAGATTCAAAAAATTGGTTTGGTTAGTAGTGAAACAGTTTGGTGTGATACCAAAATGAGATCATTGCTATTTCCTCTTCTCTTTCTACAGGACGATCAACCCTACTGAAAACAAGTTCGTTGCTTGGGCTGCATTTGGTGAAGGTTGGCACAACTACCATCACGTGTTCCCTTGGGACTACAAGGCGGCAGAGCTTGGCAACTACAGGCTGAATCCTAGCACAGCCTTCCTGGACTTCATGGCCTATATAGGCCAAGCCTACGACCTGAAAACTGTGTCTGAGGAAATGGTGAAGAAGAGGGTGAAGAGGACAGGCGATGGAACGTGGGAGGGAAGGCAAAATGAGGGAGGAGTGGGGGAGGACCATGAGCACGTGGACTGCATATGGGGTTGGGGTGACGCTGATATGAAGGAGGATGATGTGAATGATGTTAAAGTTTTCAATCACTTGAAAGAAGACTAGGAATTAGAAGTATTGTGAAATTTATTATTTTGTTGTTGATTTTTGTTATTGATAATATATTTGGTTATTTATTCTTCTATTTATTCACATGTTGATTCAGTGTGCTCAAAATCTTCGTTTATATTTCAAGAGTATTCAGCTGAGGTGGATGAGCTTCCAGGTAGTGATAATGTTCTCTACCAACAATGAAATCGAATATAGTTCATTATTCGTGTTATAATTCTAGGAACAACTGAAGAATACTTCGAAAATCAACTTCCCCAGTAGCAGAATTTGTTTTGAACAAGAATATATCTATCAAAAATAGAAACTGCTGTAATGAAACAGTAACTGTGAGATTTCTATAGCAACAAAGATTCATGCATCTAGTTGGAAATATCAAAAAATTACCACCACTTGTGTAATTACTGTTGATAATTTGTCTGAATACAGTATGACGAGTTTACTTTTGGACAAATTATTTTGAATGAAAGATAAATGCTCAGTTGACAACCAATCTATGTTGAATTATGGCTTGGGAAATTTTTTGTCAGTCAGTCTGTATATATGAATTATTCAAAGATTGATAGATTCTTCCTGCTATATATAGGGTATGTATGTATGTATACTCGTCTTCAGTGAACATGTTGCGGTTGAACGGTATGAGTGCTCTTATTGCAGCGGTGATTAAGAGAGCTGACACCGTCCATGTGCGACATGTTCTCTGAAGACGACTGTACGTGTGGTACCTCGAAAATAATATTCCACTCCATTCGAGAAATTCTGACTGAAATTATAGATTCAAATATGTTCAGCAGTGTCGTGAAAAGTATAAGCTCTTTGTTCATTGGTAGAAAATTAATATCGATCTTATGAATTATTCATTCTATCTCTTTATTTCTTATAAATTAGTCTACATGCAATCAAACATAGAACTCATTTTCGTCACATTTTTAAAGAAAAACTTATATTGAAGAATGACTAACTTCAAGAACTTTACACAAATGAATGAGTAGAACAATAGCGTAAGATCATTCTTCTAATTTATTATTAGGTATAAAATCATGGGGAAATTGATATTCGATAGAAATTCTGATATTCGCTTGAGAAAAACTTTTGTACATTTATTAGTTTAATATATAAATGTGATAAGAATTACGTTTGTTACATTCGTTATTGTTTTCGTTAAAAATAAATTTTAACCTGGATTTGTCTAGTTTTTTTTTCAAAACGATTTCTATTGAGGAAAGAAATGCAATCGTGTGAATATTTTCTAAAAATCATGAGGTAATGTTACAAATTATATAAAAAACTATCACCTATCTATTGAAAACCCAATAAAACTACATGTTATTCAGTTGCTCAAGTTTCCAATCCAACCATGAAATCAGAATAAATTTTAATAAAAACATGGACTATACATTCTGGTCGTATCAAGGAACATGTTATGCTACATAGGTAAATAATAAAATAATTCAAGACAAGAATACTTCAACGATTCTTTAGAGCAACTGATAGATTGAGGTAAGTATTTGTGAAAATCAAGAACATTTTGAACACTTACTCTAAATAATTGAACTTCTCTTGTTTCCAGTTGAATTTATCTTGATTTCCTATACCCGCGTGATTTTTTGTTTAATTAATACATTCGGATACTTGTTTTTCAAATTACTTCATTACTTACTCTACAGTTATACAGGGTGTTTAATAAGTCATGGAACAAAAGAAGTGGGGTAGTAGGGCGGGGGGGAAATATTTTCCAATCAAACTAACTGTAAATGTGGCTATCCAATTGTGGATGGTTCGAAAGTTAATGATTTCATTTTATTTTGATAGAAACATTGATTACAATAAAACTATGTAACATTTGTGAGTTTTTCTCTCACAATATTCATCCACATGGATGCACTTTTCCCCAGAAATGATTTTATGACATGTGATACTTCTCATCAATCGAGTACCTCAAAAAAATGTTGTTTTGTCGTTGAATGATATTTTTTAATCCATTTTTGAATGCCGCTGGCAAATTAAAAAACAACCCCACAAATATTTTGAGAAAAAGTTACCCATTCAATACAGATTCCGAAATGGTTTAGCATATGGGATCATTCAAAACACCCTTTTCGTTATTTTTTTTGCCAAGTCGATCGCGTTTTTCAGAAAAAATTAATAACTTCTGAACCATCTACAATTTGATAATCCCATATACCTACCGTTAGGTTGATTCCAAATGACCCCTCCCTATCACCCCACTTCTTTCGATCTATGATTTATGGGACACCCTGTATAATTGAAGCGTGCTCAAGTTCACAAAAAGTTCTCAATAAAGTTATGTTCAAAACGACTCGGAACGAACCATGTAAGGCCAGATATAAAAAGAAATTCATGGAACGTATCAGCGCTCAGAACATATTCACTGCAATGTTGCCAGTAGTTTCGACATATTCGTTAGAAATGTGCATTTTTTGTCACGCCTTGAATCTGAAACCCAACTTATCATGCTATGTTTTCCTTATTCTAGCATCCTGACCACACTTATTTGAAACACCTTGTATAGCACAAACAAATAATCGAAACCAATATACCATTCGTCGACTCTTGAAGAAATTTTCTTTTGCAGACTAGAAAACTCAAAACAGTAAATCGAAAGTTTACACAAAAATCCCTACACATCAGGCTCGTTCACTTTGTTTTTGTAGCCTTGATTGACGTAAATCACATGTTCTGCAGGCTCCTTATCAAAAACGTAACTCCTCACCATGGCAAACAGGGCACTACTGAACACCATGTTATTCACCAAGGAAACCACCATCACCATCATCTGTAGTTTAGGTATCACCCAGGGTAGGATCCCAGACAACACGAAACCCGGTACCAGCATATACTGCACGGCACTGCTCATGGACGTCTTCATTTTTCGTGCTTCCTCCTTTCGGTTATCAGAAGATATACTCACTGAACCATCTGACAGTTTGATATCTATTTCGAGATTGTCAGTTGTTAGGGCGTCCCAAATACTGCCACTTTTTGTTGTGTTGGTGTTATTACTGATAGCTATTTCATTCGCAACGTTTTCAAATTTTCGGAAAATCTTGACAGTTTTTTCCACACTTTCTTGGATGCAGTTGAAGATCAGCACTAGGTACACCGGTTTGAGGTCCATGTTCTTTGGATGTTTACTAGGAAATGCTTGATTCTTGTGGTATAACCTACATTCTCCGTGTCTAATAGAAATTCTCGAGCATTTCACGCTATAATGAACCGATCATTTGTGAGCAGCGACCGACGTATTATGCAAAAGGCATCAGAAGATGTTCTAGTTACTGGAAATTCACTCTTGAATCTCGAATAAAAATTTGGGACTCGAAGACAATTGACTAAATGAGTCTGATGAATCGAGGTTTTGATTCCAACGAAAATATTAACAGTTGGCCTTTACACAAATTTAATAATCTCTTTCTATATCCAAATGAATATATTTCATCCCAAGTATACAGGGTGATTCACATAAGAACCAACATAGAGCAGGGGCATGTAGGGGGTCCCAAAATATGGCAATTTAACGCAACTTACCTCTATACCAAGTTGCTTCCCTAAGGAGTTATAGGCTTTGAAAGTGAAGTAATAAATTTTGAAAAAAATCAATATCTCCGTTATTCTGGAATTCAAAGCAACCAAATTTGGTACAGTTTGTAGATGTATTCAGGGCGTTACTTGACAGTAACTAGAGCTCAATTGAAATTTGTAAAGGGGGTTTACCGGTTGGCGCACCATTAATATTGAACAGAATTTTGTTAACCCTCGATGAATTACAAAAATCTTTGCTTTGTTGTGTGGGCAATTCAATTCTCAAACTGTTTTTACTCTTGTAATTTTTCTAAACACCTCATCATTTTCATCAAAAACTGAAAACGCGCGCTCTAGGTGTGTTATTTAAAATCATCGAAAATTCAAAAGTTGGCTATGGAAATAAACGTGGAACAAGAGAGTAGGTCATTAATTGTGATCAGTAGAAATTGGCTGGCGAATTATTATTTAGATACGTAACAAAATACGTAAAGTAAGTACAGATACTGAAATGTGAAAAACTGGGATTAACAACTAACCAAAATAAACACAAAAAACTTGAAAAACAACCAGAATAAACAATTGTTTATCGATAAATCACTTAATTGAACAACTTACTTGCTTCATTGTCGAGTTTGACGTTTATTTTCATAGCCAACTTTTGAATTTTCGATGATTTCAAATAACACACCTAGAGCAGGCGTTTTCAGTTATTCGAGTTTTTGATGAAAATGATGAGATTCTTCAAGAGATTACTAGACTCAGAAAAGATTTAGAATTGAATTGCCCACACAACGAAGCAAAGATTTTTGAAATCCATCAAGGGTTAACAAAATTCTGTTGAATATTAATGGTGCGCCACCCGGTATACTCCCTTTACAGATTTCAATTAAGCTCTTGTTACTGTCAAGTAACGCCCTAAATGTATCCAGAAACTGTACCAAATTTGGTTGCTTTGAGTTCAAGAATAACGGAGATATTGATTTTTTTCAAAATTTATAACTTCACTTTCAAAGCCTATAACTCCTTAGGGCAGCAACTTGGTATAAAGGTAAGTTGCGTTAAATTGCCATATTTTGGGACCCCCTACATGCCCCTGCTCTATGTCGGTTCTTATGTGAATCACCCTGTATATGGTTTGTGTATTTATTCTTGATAAACTCATTCGTAGACATGAATTCAAGTTTATCCTTCGAATTTCTTCGACTTCTTGAGTGGATAGAAACACATCGAAAAGAATCCAGCTCAATCCCAAGTGTACAAATGGACTTGACAAGGTTTAGAGAGACTTAGGTTTTGGAAGCGTAATGTAAGTATTGTGGAAAAACCTATGTAGGCCAAACAAGGCAACTCATGAAAACAAGGTGCAAAGAACTCCTCGCACATTTGACTAACTAACATATTTGAGGTAATGCAGTAATTTTTTTGATCCGGGTATTTCAGCTATGCCTGGATTGAATGGACTGTACAGTTTTTCGAAAAAATTTTCCTCATAATTGTTTTTGAAATTTTGATTCCGAACAAATAAAATAATCTGAATATTGCAGACTTGTCCACATAATAAAAAAACAAATAAAAGTTTGAAGTTATGAAGGTGTTGCAAGTTGAAATCACACACGCTGTATGTTGAATCAAGATTATTATTTGCGAGAGAAAAACACATCTTGCACATGATGCTTGAAGCTTGGTTCAGTAATCTTTCTATGGGTACCTATTATGATACACTTTCATGCAATCAGAAAATTTTGTATGATTCATGTTTGTATTCAAGATAGTTAGGTATGTATGCTAGACAAAATTATGAAATTTGAAATATTCAATTGAACAAACTTGTGAATGATTTATATTACATTGAGATTACGGTAATACTTCATACGAGATAGAGGTACAAGGATCAATATTCTGAGTATATTTTCTTGATTAAAACTCTGTGAACACTGTTTATATCAATAAACGATAAATTCCAAATACTATCTCGAGAAAACACATGGTGAAAAATGTTCTTATTCTTTTCTTAAAATTTGATATGATTGAAAAAGAAACAGATTCGCAGTTGAATTCGTGTCTAAAATTTTGTAGATCAAACCTCTCAAAGCTTCCAAAATATTCAACAAAGATCCACATTCGTATAGTGAATATTAGAATTCAGTCAGCATATCTCGCTAAGCCTAAAGTGTCTGGTACCATGCAAAATTCATCACATGACAATGGGACGAATTCAATGAGAAACATGGTTTCTGATCATGATTGACACCGATTCATACTCATACTATCCTACTTTTCAACTTCAAACAACCGACCAAAGCCATAAATCATAGAAGAATCTGATCGAATTCTTCGACCGTATTCGCATTGGAAACTTTTAACAAACCATTGTTCTTACGTGACTGAAATCCAAATTTTTCAACACCCGTAATATGAATACCAAGAAGGGTAGTGATACATTGTCATTTTTCTACTGTAATTGCTTGTGTCAAGAAGCTTCTGGTCATCATGAAAGGTTCGGTGCTAATTAGTTTCAAGTGTATTGTTGTATGTGCTGTGTTGGTACTAGTTGCCAGCAAAGAAATAAAGAAGCCTGAAGTTAATACCCTAGATGAAACTGAAATTGAAATTAAAAAATCCGAGGA